CACGTCAACAGACGACAACAGCACGTCTAGTCACTCGCGGCATAATCTCGGACCGTTGGCAACGTCTCCAACAGCAGAGTCGCCGCCTACTTGACCCAGTACCAGGATCGTTTTTCGCACCACGATGGGCGTGATTAGCGTGTCACACCTGACAGTTCAAACCATCGATGCTGGCGAGGTCTATCCTCTGCGCGAAAGCAAGGTTAGCTCAAGTCCACTGACTTACGCGTGAACTACTGTTAGGTGACAGTAAACTTGCGAAGCATCTAACGCACTTTCTCTTCCCTTAACCACATATGCATGGCGTCGAAGCGGAGTAAAGAAGATCGAGGGCGGGACCGGGTGCAGGTGGCTGGCGCGGCCTTAGCCACCCCTATGCGTGTTACGCGTCCTCCCGCATTTGGAGTCCCCCTAGTCCTGAGGAGATCTCTAACTTCAGGTCAGAGAACTGGAGAGCAATGTGCCTTCACGTGGCGGAACAATCGCCTGTTCGTGACTTCTCATATAACAGTATACAGCTAATAAAGATTAACACAAAAATGCAGTTTATCAAGTTGCTGAAAACAGCAGGAAAAGACCAATGAGCTAAACTGAGCGTACTGTTGTGAACACGATCAACATGTTTCTTCACTAGTGATATCCGTGGGAACTTTCCACCACAAATCTCGCACGCGAAGGGACGCAGTCCTGAAATGAAAACAAAAACCCCGTTCGATCTCCGTAGGCAAAAATGAACTAGTATACCGACAAATATTTGATGAGAGACTGGGACCCGCTACGCGTAGTCAATAGGCAACGATCGATATGCAAAACATGTACGCAAAGTGACTGATCCTCTCAAGTCACTTGTTAGAGCGCAGATGTGTTGTTCTGTGTTTAGTGACATGATGCCAATTGACGGATGTCCAACTTGCAGCACAGACGGAATCTCCGTATCGGAGACGTAGAGCTGGGTTGGTGTCGGACGCGTCAGCCATCGCGTCCGCGTCCACTTCTAATGGCATCGACGTGGATAAAACGGTGAGGTAAATGTTATGCAATTCATCCAACATGAGGCAATTCACGGGGAAGCTACCACTATGCCTTTAGGACAGTAATGACCCCATTGGCGTGCTTGGCTTAATTACTGTGGAGCTATTCTGCGGTATGCAGTGGCCCGAATTTGCATCCAATCACAGGGGTTGTTGTTCAAAAGAGGGGATATATTAGGAAGGGAATAGTCTGTGAAAGATTATCTTGTTGACTCCAAATGTGCGAGGAATGGTGCTGGATGCTAGGCGCAGACAAACGGACTGCCAGCGAAAGTGGCCACGACAAATATACGTCGAGGCAAACGAAAGGTAAACTAGCGCTCGAAACAATATTCAACGCAACAGTATGCAATATCCCTTGGGAAGAAGGAACGCACCTTTGTGGACAATTTGAATGTGCGCATTCATGTTGTTGACTCCTGCAAAGCTTCTGCCACAAATCTCACATTTATGGGCTTGGGACTCTACAACAAGGAAGTAAAGAGGATCACTTAGCAAAAGCAGACAATTTCTGGGTCTGGGATTACCGAGCACTTTCACTAATGACCATGCGTTTTCGCATCTAACAGACCTGTT